AATCTATTTATCGGATCATGGTTCTCAGTCTCTCGCGAATTCACTATTGTTTGATTTTTGGGTTTTCTGATTAAATTTTGATTGGGTTTCCTGATTGAGATGGCTGTAGGTTGAATAACTATATAGGTTGAATAACTATAATCTAATGGTTTTAATTATTATTATTATTATTATTATTATTATTATTATTATTATTATTATTATTATTATTATTTGTAAATGATGATGGTGAAGGTGTTGGTTAAACTGTCCTTGTGAAGATCATACTTGAATAACTTCGTGTTTACTATTGATTCTAAGTTGGTGTCTGAGAATTACATGAGGACCTTTTGTCTTTCTCCTCTTTTTGGATTGAAAGAATTGACTACCTGTTTTTTCTGCGAATTACAGATTTAGAGTTCTCTTTCTCTCACTAGCTTCTGCCTTTTATGTAATCTAGTATATCAATTTTGGACTATAATGTTCGTTTGCTATTGAATAAGCATATTACTATGGGCGATTTTGATTTATTTCGTTTTTATAAGTGAAATCCAATACTCTTTTGATTCCTTATACAATTTTGGACAATGCCCATATTGTTTTAGTTCATGACACATCATCGCAGATTCTATGTGCATAAGAAGATGTAACATACTTGTACTACATATAGTTGTATTTGAGGTAGGAAATGGATTATGTGGTTTTCGCAATTGAGCTTCTGATAGAATGTTTATCACTTTATTTATAGTATGAAGGATGAGTTTGAATGCCACTTTGTGTGGAGTAGGTCTGTAGAGGAGGATCTGATTTGTACACTATTGAGTTGGGGCCTTTCCAATTTTATTGACTCTTCATTTATTCTTTCTACTAAAAAAACTTTTTGAGCGGAAAAGAAGTTATTGCTCAACCATAAAATGGTTGCATAACTAGGGTTAAGCAAGAATTTGAACATTTTGTCTCAACCCACATAATTCATATTTTCATGACTTTGCCGAGTCCAGACTCTGCCTCGCCCTATGAGCGAGGTTAGTTAGGGTGAGGCCAAGTTACGAATGAGTTCAGTGTACACAGGGAGGTGTACGCTACTGGCAAAGTTTATCAAAACATTTGACAAAAACTGATCAAATTTTTTACTTCTAGGCCTGTATCATTCCTTTTCTTCATCCAAATCAATCTATCTTCAATCGATATAGATCAAAACTTCTGATTTAGTGTTTTATTCATCAATGTTTTGGTGAAAAATAGCTGCTCTATGAACTATTCCGCCTAAACATATATTCTTTTATTCAATCCAGGGAAACCTGGTGCTATTTGTTCTTGATGCAGCCCTCCACAAGATCCCCATACTTTTTTTTGGGATCGAAGGCCAGAGACAGGAGATCTGGCCAAAATATCTTTGTTCTTGTAAAAAAGCAGTTTTTCAGAACAATCCCTTATCTATCTGCCATTCCATTGATTTCTTTGTATTTTTTCCCAAATCTATTGAAACTTGGTTCCCTTTGATCGTGATTCAACTCTCTGCAATAAACCCATACTGATTCGTTTGATTAATAGCTGGAAAATGAGATTTTTGGCTTGAAATTTGGTGTTTTTTTTGGAGAAAAACGGCATTTTCCATACCGTATGTTTTTTGGGGCAACGAATCTCTTTTTTTGGGAAAATTTTCATCTTTCCATTAATTTCAATTTTTCTTATTTTTTTAGTAGTTTTCCCCATTTTTTTTTGGTTTTCCTCCAGCCTATAAGGTATCGGGCTTGACTTGGGTAAGTCCACTATGACTCGTCTGAGAAACTCGCCTCAGGCTAGTGCCAAGTACCTGGCCTGAGTTGATGTATGAAACATTTATTTATATTGTGAAGTCCATGTGCAACACTTGAATGGTATTCCTTTGGGACCTGTAATTTATATTAAGTGGAACAAGTCCACTAGAGTGTGTTAAACGTCATTTTTGACGTACTTACATCCCTGGTACAAATAAGAAGAGAGCCAGTAACAACCTGATTCTGTCGGTACCCAAGACACCTCCAAACCAAGGCAACACTGCAAAATAAGCCTAAAATTGGGCAACCTTGGAAAATGTATTAAAACGGCTTTGAAAGACATGAAAAGGGTAGTTTGGGATACTCGTAGGATGCTCGCAAAGTTTCGTCACATTCAGATAAGTTTTGACTCGATCAGAACGAAAGTCAATTCTCAAAGACCAGTACCTATCGTGCTGAAAAGAGACCTTATAACTATAGCCCTATACTAAGGGCTTCAAAACTATACCAGACCACTTCCATTGCATCCAGAATGTCGAAAAAACCCCAGGGACCAAATTTGGAATCAATCGGACCTCCCAGGAACATTCTCAACCCAAATTACCACAAACGGTTAGGTTTTATACTATTGCGGTGCGCCTCACCGAACCAGTTTCCAATCATGGAGGTTGTGTTTTCACATCTCGGGATGATCTGCAAGCGCCTACAGGTTGCTCGTTTGGAATCGGAACAAGCTCAAATTCAGACACAAGCTAGGTCTCGACGACCCGATCATTTTGACATATGGCACGCATCATGATGTGACCTAGAACCAAGACTTTTCTAGAGAGAAGATGAGCCCGAAACCATAGAAGATACAGTTTTGAAAGAAAGACATCTCGAACTTCGTGAAGCGATAACTTGAAATCCGTACATCGGATCATCGTAAAGTCGGGTTCGATACGACCGTATAACGAAGGGCTACAAGCTGGTACAACTTTTGCACTCAATCTAAGGTCGGATAGCGCAAATTCCAAAGTTTAAGAAGGCAAGATTTCCCTGTCACCGGAATCCCTCTTTCCGACGACCTACCGAATTCAGAAACACTTCAAGCAAGAACCAAATCGGACAAATTTTGGTGCAAAGAAATTGTGACAGTCTCCTCTTTAATTTGCAATCAAAATAAAGACTCGGAACACCATGGATCGCATTGCATTGACTGTCAAAGTACACAACCTAGTCAGATTTCTACCACTCGGGAAAAGTCCGTCTCAAGGCGATCAAAAGACATCAAACTCTTCAAAATCAAGCAAGCATCAAGACTACGATGATGGATCGTCTGAACTACCGCCACAAGCATCTGAAAAAGCTTTCAAATCTGGCAATGGCGAAAGGTCCCTCGGAGAGGGATGGTTTTGTCATTAGCACAAAAGGTGTAAAAGGCATTTTGGTCATTATTCTTAAATTTGGGATTTTATTGTAATTTCTTTTAATCATAATTTGGCTTAGTTTTGAGCATCCACCCATGTTTGGTGGGTCTTCTATATAAACTAGCTTAAGTCAATTGTAAAAGGTTAGATAATTCATTAACGAAATCGAGGCATTAAGCTTATGTCCACTTGTCTTTTGCTTCTAACCCTTGGATCCAGTAGCGAGGAGAGAGAAAAATTTCAGAGAGAGAAACTACCCCTGGCCTATCCTGATCGCGCGACCTCGTTCTCTCTCTTCCTTTCTTAGGCTATGCCACGCCTGAAGGCCACTCTTTCTCTACACACGTTGCTTGCCTCGCGCAGTAACCTAGAGCCACGGCAAATGCGCGGCCCTGTCTCTTCCCCCTTCTCTATCTCATTCTTGTCGCGCTGTGGGTCTCAGAGTAGCAGAACTCGTGGTCCCGCTCTCTTTGCGACCTTCCCCTTTATGCTTCGATCGCAAACGCAACAAACCTGTGGCTCTGTATAGTATCCCTCTATCCGTCATACGCTCAATTCAATACCTTCAGAGTCATCCCAAGAGTTCCAACCCTCATACCATCGCTCTAACTTCCTCTCCGTACAGCCGAGTTGAGCCACGAGAAATGCATACGTTCTCTCCCTCACTCACTTGGGTGGAGTCTTCATGAGTCGATAGTCGAGCGGGTTTTAACTCTTTAGTTGCTCTGATAGCCTGAGCGCATAGAGTTTGCGCGGATAGGGGGATTCTTGTCACATTTCTCCCCTTGTTCTTTCTTTTGCCAGCCAGCCCCCTCGTTTGAGTGAACCATTATGGAGGAATATCATCGAATTCACATTGCAGTTTCAACATAAGAGAACAGGGCAACGTGTTAAAGCCTGAGGAGAGTTCGTGTCCAAACCGTGGTGGCAGACAATCGGAGGGCTTCGTAATTGTTCTAAGAGGGCGAACTGCCCGAGCGTGTCCCCAAACCGCCAAACGACGAGGTAGGAGCCTAAACACACCCCTGTCGTAAAATCTTTCTCATTGTTGCTTCCTATTTGCACAATGAAGAGCACGCATGCGCACACCAACAAATGTGCAGCGCGCGCAGACCCTCCGCGGTTGTTTGAAGGAGGATTTTCTCCCGCCGTCCGTGCGAGTAAAAATCAGGCCCCG